CGCTCGTATCCCACGGATTTTGGGGGTCAGGTTTGTTCTGTGGCTTCGCACCCCACAGAACTCCCCATGGAGAGATTTTTTTGGAGCAACTGGTCCCTTCCACGTCCCAGGAGAACGTCAAGAGTGTCACAGGCAGGCGCCCGTGGTCGGTGTGGGTCGGGTTGAGGTCCCGGCACAAGGAGTGGACGTGGGTGGACGACACCCCCTACGACCCCCACAGGTGAGTGTCCGAGGTCTGGGGGGGTAAAAAAGCAGTTTTGATTCCTTTGAGACCCTGATCCACGTCCACACTTTGCTGGGGTCCATGCAAGGGTCTCTTATTCCTCTGGCAACACTCTGCAGACCAAGAGTCAGGGTCATGGGGCACACTGGGAGCATGGGGCATGTTGAGGTTGGTTATGGGGTATTTGGGGTCACAGGGCACATTGGGGTTGGTTATGGGGCAATAAACCCTTTGTTGTGCAGGTTTGGGGACCTGCCGGAGCTGGATGAAGGGTGTGGGACCCTGAAAGGCAGGAACTTGGATGTTGATGTCTGTGCCAGTGACCACAAGTGGATTTGCCAAAAAGCCCCTTTTCAGCTCTCCTCGCCCACGGCAGGAGATGTTGGGAAGCTGGATGATGCCTCCACCTGACACACTCGGGCAACGGACCCCGTGTGGTATAACAAAATCATTTATTACAGTTCTTTCATGGTTTATCCACCCCGTTACATCAGCAGTAAATTCCAGTCAGTAGCTTTTCTCTATATCCACTTTTTAGTTAAGCATTCTCTGCCCAGGAGAAAAATACTCCCAAGCAATTTCAGGCACACACGGATACATCTCACCACGTCTGTATTCAGATTGCCAAGTTCCCCTTAAATTTCTCCCTGGGTCATATAATCTCAGTCCCTACAGTTAAGCGTTATTTTTATGCTTTTACATTACTATAGATAACAATAAGCCAAGCGGCTCCATCCCTGCTTTCCTTTGCAACCAAACTGTCCTAAAATAAACACACATATTCCAACACCCATCCCTTCGGTGTCTTCACTGTGAGGGCAGTTCTGTGAGGGCAGTTCTGTGAGGGCAATTCTGTGAGGGCATTTTGCCATCTTGGCTCCCTCAGGGCTCCTTCAGCCACCCGGGCACCTGCGGTTGATCCCTCGGGCCTTTCCCTGCCCCGCACGGGGCGAGCGACCCCCGCAGCTCCCGCACTGACCAGGACACGAGGGACAGCGTTGGGGTTGTACAAACTTTAATGCAAGTGGAAAACAAGGAGAAGGAGAGAGAAGCACAGCAGCAGCACTGATACAGTAACTCTGCTGAGGCCACAATCAGGACATTGTACATTCACATTCATAGTTTCATATAGTGTTCAGGAATGGAAAAATACTTCACAGGTGCACATTCAAGCACTATAGTGCTTGAATATAGTGCATACAGTGTTATGGATGTAAACTGTTAGAGTATAAATATAAAGTAAATATAAATAGAGGATGAGGAAGACTTCTGGAGAAAGAAACCCATAGTCCAGGAAGGCACACGTCCACTTCCACATCATGTCCCTGCAGGTTCACCTCCTTGAGACCAGCTACTGAGGTGACAATGATAAAAGGCACCAAGGTTACTGAGGTTGTGCTGAGATGTGTCACAAAGTAAATGTTCACCCGCAGAAGGACATCCCTGTGCTAGTGGAAGAAGGAAAGCTGTGTATTCAGGATGGAGAAGGTCCTTTCCCCCTCACTTCTAGTACAGGTGAGGGAGTTTGGGGTTTGCTGCAGAGATACGGCCGCTCTGTTGAACACTCCTCACTCCTGAGTTTATTTTCTGCCAGGTACACACACTCTGAATTGCCAAGGACCTCCAGCCTGCAATGAGGAGCAGAGACAGCGCTGTTACAGGGCAGGGCTGTGAACAGGACAGGTCGTCTCTGCCCATTCCCCCCAGCACATGAGGAGACAAGCGCTGCCCAGGAGGGACAGTCCCAGCAGCCCCGGCCCCCCCATCCCCTGCCCGTCCCCCCGGGACTCACGA